CGGCAAGGTCATCACTCATAATAGAGAAGTCAGCCCCGGTGTCGACTAAAGCTTTGACTTGCTGTCCATCCACAAGAACAGTAAGGCCTGGGGTCGCGGTTTTGGCGGTATTGCGTCTTGTCGGCTTTACAGCGTCCTGAGGTGGGAGTAATAGGGGATTTTTTTTCTTCGTCTTGACAGCCTGCAACTTTACCCCTGAGGTCGCCGCTTTCAGTTTCCCCGGTGTGGGCTGTGGGTGTGGGCCACGATGTCTCCCCCTATGGTGGTGACCAAGGAACAGTTGCAGATGGCGGGTAGTATGAAGGCGGAGCGGGTGGGAATCTTCGAAGGGCGGCGGCGTACGTCATGGGACGTTGTTCAGGGGCAGGATCAGCTGTCGATATTGCTTGACGGATTTCGTCACGGACGACTTGAGTGAAAGATGCCATGGGTGTATCCACTACCGCAGTCCGCAGCCTTTGCAGTTCCTCACGAACAATCTCTCTAATCATGTCATGTAAGGAGCTATGACTGTCAAACGCCAAGCGGCGGCCTGAATTTGGGGGCTGCTGCACAGGCGGTCATATTGTCGGCAGCGTTGGTGAAGGGCTCACTCGATAGCCGACGCTGCTTTGATGAAGTTCTCTACAGTGCTTGGCGGGTTGCGCAGAAGTCCGGCGCCCTTTCACGCCACGCATGAGGTAGCGCAACTTCCTATCTTCGGTCATCTGCAGGTCAGCCCTCCGAAATAAACGTGTCATGTCTTCAGCGAACATGGCGACCGTTTCATTGGGTTTTTGGACCCTTAGCTCTAGTAGTTGGTGGGCGCGGTCACGTCTGTCGACATTGGCAAAAGTTTCAACCATCTTTTGGTGAAAGTCGGTCCATGTGGACAGGTTGCCTTCTCTGTTCTCGTACCAAGTACGAGCGCTGTCATCAAGATAGAAGTAGGCCCGGCCGAGCTTTTCCTGAGCAGACCACTGGTTGATCTTCGCAAAACGGTCATAGTGATCTAGCCAGTCTTCTACATCTTCGTGTGCTCCACCACCAAAGCGTTTAGGCTCCAGCGATTGAAAAAACGTTACCTGAGATGGGGCGGGAGAACTGGTGCCGAGAAGTACAGGCTGAAGGCTGGTGTTAGCCATTTCTAGATGTCTGGTAGAGGTTTTCTGCGAGGGGTTGCAGTCTGGAGGAATATCTCGTAGCCGACGACTGAAAAGATGGACAGGGGTGGCAGTATACGCACCTCCAGGCTGGATGAACGGCTCCCACTAGGAGTGTGAAGCATCAGGCAGCGTCGCGGCCCAGCACCTCCATCAGTGTCGCATTGCAACGCGAACAAAAGATGACAGCAGCTTACGGCAGCGAAAAGAGCGTATTGATGATGATGATGATGATGATGATGATGATCCTTGACACTCTGGCGCACACCCACAAAGGGGGATCGGCCAAGAACCGGGCGGCAGGATCTTAACTAAAAGGCTAATGGTTTTTCAAAGAAAACGAAATTTTGGGCTAAAAAAAATATAGAAAGGAAAGCCGAAAATCGAAAAAGGAGTATATCTGAGCAGGGAGCGATGCAGGCCATCAGATGCGATTTGAGACAGAGGTAATGGTGGGTCTATATATATATATATATATATATATATATATATATATATATATATATATACATACACACACACACACACATATACATACATATATAGGCAGATTAACATGGCAATCGCTTTGTTTCAATTATGTATTCAAATACCGCAGAGCAGACGTCCCTGTGGCTATAACCGAATTTAATGCTGCCAAACGACAAAATTACTGCCACATTTAATTCTAATCCCAATTTTTCGAGTGGAGCTACCAGGTATCTTTTCCGCTGATGAGAATACCAGCGTATTCAGGATCAGCTGTACAGCAAGACACCTGCTTCGTTGTCGTCCCTAAAAACAAACTGACCCACTAGCTGGAATCTACAAAACATTCCTATCATCGTTCTTTTTCATATAAACACGTGTCAACATATAACATAAGCGTGAATGATGGTTTTGTGCAAATAATTTAGATCTTATATTGGTCAAATGAATTTAACAATTTTCGAATTTGCTTTGGCATGAATTCAAAAGCCAGTGTCGTGTTTTATAGTGTGTTAAAATTACCACAGTAGCATGACCACCGTGCATAATAATCGCACCGGAAGAGAGTGATCATGTTTCATTATGTGTGCCCAGGTTGATGATGCATGCCGACATAGCCTTTTTCTCCTATATTATCATACTGCACACTCATAGCAGCGAAAGGAGCCTTGGCTGTTGATAAACTGATCTACGATGAGAGGAACTCAACACTGATAATGACATTGTTTGATAATTCCTTTAAAAATGCTTCATTACCCTACTAAGTGTGCATATTACCTGCACACAGATGACATGGGCTTGTGACGTTAACGAAGAAAGCATTCGGCATGTTCAAGAGGAAGCTCCCTATTTGGGCGACGATGTGCCCAGGAAATGAAAACTCGAACTACAGCAGTACACAGTGTACACTGATAGCAGGAAAAAGAGCCTCGGTCATCGATACACTGACCTGCGGTGAGCAGTGTTGGCATTTATTCACACAGCATCGAACATTCAAGCCCTATTGCTGGCGCTCCCGCAAGCTCTAGAATAAACTAAACTGTTCGCGTCCTGCGTGCAATCTAAACAGAATAATCTCAGACAATCGCAATCCTTTTCAACGACTGAGGTGCAATTTGTGCCCAGCATTGCACTGTTCTTAATTCATTTGTAACTTAAAATCGGGCTATGTACAGCCCAATTTAAACCTGCTAGACATGTGCAAAAGCAAATTTTAGGTTCGTAGCGAACTTGAAATGAACAGTGATTTGATCGAATAATTTTGAATCACATTCATGTAGTATACTAATAAGAACTAACAGACAATGAGCAGTCATTGTTTGTTAGCTCTCATTAATATAACGTCTAATGAAAAAAAAATGAGCCCATAAATTTGCACTTCTTTCCTTCATTTGTACAGCATATACTACAATATCATATTATAAAAATGAGCATATTTGGCATGATGCAACTAACCTGCACAATATTTTTAAGAATTCAAACAAGGCGTGAGCAAATGCCATATTTCTTGGTTCAAAGGAAAGTGGAAATAACATAGCATAGCAGTGGGACTTGACTTTGTGATAATGTGTAAAGTATGATACATTTAAAATTTCAACATATTTAGAGAAAAGAAAGCAGTATAACAAGCTTTTAAACTCAAAAAATAATTAATTGATGTGAGGGTAACATGTTCATTTAACCTTAAAGTGGGGTTTCGCGGCAGTGCAGATTTTTTTCTGCGTAAGTGTACTCATGGTATAGCCCCCCACACAGCAATAAAACCACCCTCACTGTGGTTTACATGCAGTTCATATGCGTCTCCTCATTCGCTTCGAATACTTCGGAATTTTGCCGAACTCAAATTCGTATTTAAGCGATTTCGAATACTTGTGGGAATTGAGGCTAGCCCGCTGCCCTTGCGCGGGCTTTGCCGCCTTCTCTGCTGTTCTCATGTCCCGACATGTCTGCCCTCCTTTGCTGTCTGCCGCGCTAGGAAGGGCGGAGTGACGTTTAACTCCCTTACCCGGTAGCGGATGTTGACTGTGGCGCCCCGCGCGGAGCCTCCCGAGAGGTTTTCGCGCGCTGCGTCAGGGGCAGGCAGTACTCTGGATTCGCTCGCAGAATTTCAAGCTGGGCGGTTGTCCCCCCGCGATCTCCGACGCCAGCGTAGCTCCCGCCGACTGGTTCGCCCTCCGCGGTCTCCTGACGCCGTGCAGCTCTCGCATTGTGGCACCCCGCCCTTGGACTGTTTCGACCGGATCCCCACTTTCCTATCTCCTTCTTTTTCCGTCGCTTGCCTGTCTTCTTCTTCGTCTATTTTTCTTCTATTCTTTTTATCCCTCCTTCCCCCCACCCCTATAAGGCACTGCGCCGTGTCGCCTGAAGGCAGACAGAAATTAAGTGCCTTTTTCCTCTTCCTTCTAACCACTACCACCACCTACTCTCCGGGACAGCAAACGGTGAGCCACGCAATCTTTCCCGTCCGTCGACTCCCGTCGCTCGGGGCTCGTCGGACTTCGCTGACGGCGCCTCGCGCCCGATGCGAACGCTCACCTTTTGTTGCCCCACTGCGTACTCACGGCCGAAGGGCGGTACGGTGTCCTAGTGCGTGGCCTAGCTACGCCGACCCGTCTCCCTCCGAAGCCAACACGAGCGCCTTTGCCCTCTCTCGAGCAACCGGGCCTTGGTCCCGGTGTCTCCGTGGATCACTTTTACCGTGGAGACGTGCTCGTGGCACCCTGTGTAGTACTTTGTGCCCGTGGCGTGGATAAGCCTGTTTGCTGTCCCGCCGCGTTTTTTGCAACGCGCTGTACTGCGTTTGGTGTTGCCACAATAAAGTGTTGCGACTCTGAGCAGTATCGTGTTCTCGCCACGGCGACGGTTAACGCGTGCCCTGCGGCTCGCTAAGACCGGACCCACGCTGGTGGCCGTAGTCCTTCGTAATACGTGTACACCACATACTATAATATTTGTTCGAACATTCAAAGTGCTCGAATATTCTCACACGCCTATGTAAAGCATATTTTATCGTAACTTGCCGACTAATACTATTTAAATGCTGCTACTAATCAAATTTGCTTTGAAATTGTTTGACATTAATTACAATTTCCTTAGACATTCCTTTGAACCTAAAAAAAGTAATATTGGCACAAGCTCAGTAAATATGTAACCGCTAGCCACGACACCAGAAAATAACTAGGCAGTAATAATAGCTGTATAAGAAATATTCGACCACGCTACATGCACGCTGATCTCCAACTTGAGCTAAAATAGTAAAAAGAAGCTAACCTTTGCCTATTTAAAACTTCCACAAGCAGCTTGTAGTGCGGTCACAGTAAAGTGGACGCTACACATGCACTGCTATTGTTTATCACAATTGTGAAAAAATGGTGTGAAGGTAAGGCTTACCAGATTGATGCAGAGGAAATAGAATATCCGCCTCAAGTCCGACTCTTTCATAATCTGTGTCAGACCAGACCTAAGCACGGACAACATGGAGTAGCCCGGCCCCGTGTGAAATGCATCACCGTTGAAGTTGTACAGTGGGTCACCACCACTGGAGTAGCCCACCAATGTACCCTTTGTTCCCACCAGGTCAGGCGAGCTAAGAATCAGCGTTGCTGCAGGAACCAAAAAGGAATGGTAAAAAATGAATCTCTTACAGCAATCAGAGTTGGAGATTACAGAGGCCCTAATCACACCATGCTTAGAAGACCAGTGAATAAACTAATGCCAACTGAAAATGTTTAAAACTTAGGGCAAGTTGGCGAGTCGAATGAAACCGTGTAAATTTATTTTTTAAATTGCTTTTTGAGTTGATGCAGTGATGATGAACAGCTTTAACTAGTATATATTACTCGAGAAAAATTTAGGGAATGGAAGAGAGAAACAGACAGAGAGAGGCAACAAAGTGTCGAATGAAGTACAAACTTGCCCAAAAGTATATTACTGTTAAGAATGATCTGTTAAGAGCTTCAAGATAACCATGTGCTCTTGCCTCATGCGATCCAGTTTTCTCATTTCTAAGCATCGCCTACAATCTACATTTACAGTTTTCTCGGCAAAGTGGCTGCAACACTTCAGGCGTTTTGAGAGATGATTATTACCTGTTATCTGTTTTGAATAATTTGAACATTTGCACAAAGACAACTCGGTTTTTTTCAGCCTTCAGACCAACCTAAAATGCTATAACTGCCCCAAGGAATGAACCTGATAAGCTGCCACCAATAAACTCGCGATGTTGAACCAGCCCAACAGGCCCCGCCGTGGTGGTCTAGTGGCTAAGGTACTCGGCTGCTGACCCGAAGGTCGCGGGTTCAAATCCCGGCTGCGGCGGCTGCATTTCCGATGGAGGCGGAAATGTTGTAGGCCCGTGTGCTCAGATTTGGGTGCACGTTAAAGAACCCCAGGTGGTCGAAATTTCCGGAGCCCTCCACTACGGCGTCTCTCATAATCATATAGTGGTTTTGGGACGTTAAACCCCACATATCAATCATCAATCAACCAGCCCAACAGGCAAAAAGCATGAATACCAGCCATCCTACGAAAGTTACTAATTAACACTCGCAAACTGATTGATTGATAGGTGGGGTTTAACGTCCCAAAACCACCAAATGATTATGAGAGACGCCGTAGTGGAGGGCTCCGGAAATTTCGACCACCTGGGGTTCTTCAACGTGCACCCAAATCTGAGCACACGGGCCTACAACATTTTCGCCTCCATCAGAAATGCAGCCGCCGCAGCCGGGATTCGAACCCCAGATCTGTGGGTCCAGCCGAGTACCTTAGGCACTAGATCACCACGGCGGGGCCACTCACAAACTCTAATAACGCTTAACTGCATCTTTAAGAACTTTTTTTTTCATGAAATTCACCTTTTCATTATTAAAATTTCACTGCAACTCCCGATAGAGCCAAATATGCAACCGATGTTATGTTGTCTTTACAGAATGTCTAGGGGCATAAATGGTAGGGCTGAACATGTCACTAGAGAGGGATAGACAAGGGTGCATTTTGCATCATTGTTCATCTCTATCTCTCAGTAAATAAAACTCCTGTTAAATGGAACTTATTTTCCTTGTCTCTTCAGGTTCCATTTAATGAGAGCCTACTAAAAATATTAATAGTGAAACTTGCCACCTAATCACATGCTGTAATGTGCCTACGTGCTAACAGCAAAGAGCACGAAAAAACTTTTTTTGTGGTCGAATAAAATGTGCCTGTGACTCTAAGTGGATTAGTCGCGGAACGCCTAGGATTTATTTGCCGCTTGCAAAATGTTCACGTCCAACAGTTGTACCCAGCAGCTCAACCTTTCGCAGAAGTCTTCAGTGGACTGGGACAGCTGAAAGGCGAAGAGTACGCAATGAAGTGAAAGCCCGGAGCCATTGGAATCGTCGTGCCAGCCAGGCGAGTTCCCATGGCCCTTCAGGAAAGAGTCAAGGAAAAGCTCAAGCGTATGGAAGAACAAGGCGTGATAACTAAGGTAAGGGGTCCAACGGAATGGTCAAGTCACATGGTCACCGTCGTTAAGAAAGATAAAGTACGCATCTGCCTAGATCCCATCGAGCTCAACAAAGCACTTTTGCGGGAGAACTATCCTATGCCTACACTGGAAGACGTTGTGCCAAAGCTTGCTAGAGCCAAATTTTTTTCGACATTAGACGCAGCTTCAGGGTTTTGGCAGATAAAGCTGAATGACTATAGCTCCAAACTTTGCACAATGAGTACACCATACCGACGCTACCGCTTTCTCTGCATGCCCTTCGGTATTGCCTCAGCACCAGAAATATTCCAAGCAGCGATGCATCGTGTCCTAGAAGGTCTCGCAAATGTAGCGGTAGTAATGGATGACATTCTAGTCTGGGGCAAAACAAAGCAAGAACATGACTACAATTTGCAGCTCCTTCTAGCACGCTGCCGCGAACAGAATCTTCGACTAAACCTAAAGAAGTGTTTCTTTTTGCAGACAGAGGTTCGCTACCTTGGGCACGTGCTCACTGCCGAAGGCTTGCGTGTGGGCCCACAACGTGTACAGGACATTTTGGAAATGCCGACACCAAAGAACTGTAAGGAGCTACAAGTCTTTTTGGGCACAATGAACTTTGTACAGCGTTTTATTCCAAACATGTCTGAGGTCACAGCACCACTTCGTACTTTGCTGCGGAAAGACACTGCATGGGTCTGGACGGAGGTGCAGCAAGAAAGTTTTCTTAGACTGCGTGAGGCTCTGATACAAGCGCCAGTACTCCGGTATTTTGATTCCAGTAAACCGGTGACCTTATCGGTGGATGCGAGCCAGCTGGGGGTGGGCGCTGTCCTAATGCAGGATGCGCAGCCCGTCGCATTTTCATCATGGACACTTACGGAAGCGCAGACAAGATACGCACGGATAGAGAAGGAAACACTTGCTATTGTACATGGGTGCACTAAATTTCATGACTACATATTCGGACAGCATGCAGTGACTGTGGAAAGTGACCACCATCCCTTAGTAGCGATATTCAGTAAGCCGTTGTATCAGTGCCCACTACGGTTACAACGCATGCGCCTTACTCTACAACGTTACCCCATCCATGTGACTTACCCCATCCAGGTCAATGTTCTTCAATGTATTTCAGCCTCTGCACGCGCGCTGCAAGACTTGCTTCAAGCCACCAATGAGGACTCAACCCTGGGCAAGCTCCGCGAATACGCAAGTACAGCATGGCCGCTTCACAAGCAAGACGTCCCCGAGCCACTTCGGACGTACTGGGAGTACCGGGACGAGATACCCGAACAGAACGGCCTCGTATTCCGGAGTAACAAGGTAATCGTGGCACAATCGAAGACATCAGAAATGATGAGTACTCTTCACTCAGCGCATGTGGGAGTCGAAAAAATGAAGGCTAGGGCAAGGAACGTGATGTTTTGGCCGAATATGGCGGGCAACATTGAGCAGTTCTGCAAAGCTTGCAAAGTATGTCAAAAGCATAAACCTCAGAACCCTAAGATGCCACTTTTGAGTCACGAGGTACCCTCGCTACCATGGCAAGTTGTCGGCATAGATTTGTTCTGTTTCGAAGGCCGAGAGTTCGCCGTCATTGTCGACGTCTACTCGTTCTTCTTTGAACTAAGAGAGTTTCGGACGACAACGGCGAGCTCGCTTAAAATAGTGTTCAGAAATTTTTTCCGTCCATGGCTTGCCACTAAAGTTGTGCAGTGATAATGGCCCGCCTTTTAGCAGTCATGAGTTCAAGGAGTTTCTGGACCCTTTGGGCATTGCTCACGTAACCTCAAGCCCCTACCACCCGTGGTCAAACGGCATGACAGAAAGAGTGGTCCAGGAGGCAAAAAAGCTTTTAAAAAAGTGCTCATTGAAAATGCCCGTGTTTCAAATGGCTTTGCTTGAGTGGCGCAATACTCCACGTGATGATGTGCTCCAGTCCCCTGTGCAGAGGCTGATGGGACGCCAGACTAGAACTCTGCTACCGGTGCCTACCAGCCATTTGGAACCGAGGACCATCCCACCGAAAGTGGTACAGGGCCACCTTCAAGAAATACGGCAACGACAGAGGACCTACTACAACCGCGGTAGCAGAACACTACCGCCTGTGAAGCCAGGCCAGCAGGTCACCGTATATGATACAAACCAGCGGACCTGGGCGCCTGCAGTCTTCATCAGACCATTCGGGGAAACCCGCTCGGCCATCGTTAAAACAGAAGACGGCCGGGAACTTCGGCGCACAAGAGAGCATCTCCGCTTGCTAGAACCGCAACCAGAATCAAACCAGCCAGAAGCGAGCCTTGTCCCTCCAAACGGGGCGTCCTCAACGGCCCCTACAGAACTACGGCGAAGCACAAGGCAACGATGCGAGCCCTGTCGGTACCCTCTACCTGAGAGGCGCTAACCAGGTGTTAACTGCCCCGTAAAAAGGGAAGATGTAGCAAGGCTCAATAAGCGCCACGTCACTGTTTGTACCTTTAGTGCGCATGCCTGGCGGCGCCACTAGTTTTGTATATATACTCGTTCTTGTTCCGGCAATAAAGTTGTTCATTGCCTGAAGCCGACTCACACACACAGTGATTGCAACAGATGCATCTATGAGTGGCGAGAAGGCAGATGTGGGTATTTTTTCTCTCGCATTATTCTGGTCGTTTTCATTACGCCTCCCAGATTATACACCAATATTTGAAGCGGAATTAACGGCCGTTATACTAGCTATTCGTAAACTTCCTGCGACTCATTCGACAGCTGTGATAGTGACTGACTCGTATTCCGTGTGTTCATTCTTATCATCGTCGTTGACATCAGCAGTACTAGAGACTTTTAAATCATTAATCCCAGCAAACATTCGTCTAGTGCGAATGATATGGGTGCCAGGCCATCGTAGTATATTTATAAACGAGATGGCTGACAAACTTGCGCGAACATCTCTTGATCTTCCGATTGTGCCAGTCATGCCTCCTACAGCTTATGTAACAGCAGCGAGGTTTAGAAAACTTTACCTTCTTGAAGACTCATCAAAAACCATGATACCGAATCCAGATTTCTCGCACCTGCAATTCACATGGAATAATAAATGGTGTCCCACGCGTAAACTGGAAGTCTTGGTAACAAAATTACGTTGCCGTGT